ATTATACTTTAGGAACTGAAAAATTATGTGATGACTTACATAAATACAGTATACTAGAAAATATTCGGTGCTCTTCGGTTGACGGGACACCAGTCAATCTATGAAATCCGATTCGCGTTTACATCTTAATATTTGCTTTAATTTTGATTCAATCGTATATAAAGTTAATTAGAATGTAAACCTACCCTTTTATTTAAGTATGTACAAAAGTTATAAAAGTCGATTATGAATTTAAACAATGAGTGTTAATATATGTTTCATATCGAAAACCATTAGCATATTTTCGCGTTAGTATAATTAAAAAAGTTAAATTACAACTTCTAGTTGTATATTATATGTGTAACTTGTTATGTTATGTTATTTGGTTATAAATTTGAAATTAGAATACGAATAAAAGTTAAAATAACATTTTTTAAAAGTTATTTTTAACCTACTTTGCATAGTACCTCGTGTCGTAGTTGCGTCATTCAATGTCATGTGGTTATGTAAATTACATTTCTTGATAGGAGTGATATATTGTACAGTACTCAAAGTTAGATAGACTACTGTAATGTTTTCCTGACACGGCTAATATCTCCATATAAAACAGTGAGAAGAGAAGTAATGTTTCTCCCCCTCAGAGTTCGTCGTAATTGTTCATTTTGGTCAGTTTGTTATTATTTGATTAAAACTAGATTTTAGAATGTGGCAATTGTCAACTGACAAAGAAATTGCAATTCGTTTTTTCCTAGAATTTGGAATCTTACATGGTGAGCTAGGAAATAATTCCAGTACTATTGTTGATCGGAATGATTATATGCGTTATATTTGTACCAATCTTTTAATATCTTTAATCGTTGTAATAATAGGTGGTGCAAACAGAGTCGTTGAGGTGTACGAAAGTCGAGATACACGTAGAAAAAAATGACGGACGTGTTCTACCTCAGCAGTGGGTATTCGGTGAAATTTGCCATGAATCGAAAGAGTTTTTTAATCACCGTTCGAGACCGTTCAGCTAAAACATCGATTGATCCCATACGAAATAACATGAAAGAAGTTAGTATAATATTTTCAGACTGTTGGAAAGCGTACCAAAAAGACGAGTTAGAAGCAGCCGGATAAGAAACATTTGCAAGTGAACTACGAGTATAAACTTTGTATGGATGTCATACTCAAAACTTACTAAAACTATATTTAAGTTTATTCCTTTTGTAAAGTGCAGTGGCTTGCCGTGAAATTTGATGATAGGGAAGCTGTGTTTCTGTAAGAAGCCGACTTCTAGGGGCAATCAGTCAATGATGGTCTAGAGTCCATTCGTATTCGTTTATTCGAAAAGCCAGTAAAAGCCACAGACTTCTCTAAGGCTGTGTACACATTAGGCGTTTTTAAACGCGCATTTTAATTAAAGAATCAAGAGTTCTGCATAGGCATACATACTCAAACGAGCGCTTTTGGCCAAACGCGCGTTGAAAGATTTTTGTTAAAACACGCGTTTTGCGGGCTTCAGCCGATTGCTTTGAGATATATGTGCTGCCATGTTGTACATTCGATCGCGCGCTTTCGGGTAGAGTGGACGTATGTTGGCCGAAATGGAGAACGATCATTTCGATACTGATCTATTTATTGATGAAATCTAAAAGAGACCAACCACCGTCAAATGATTTTATAGATATTTTAAAAGAATTAAAAAACTTCGGTTCATTTTGTGTTAGTTTTGAATACAACGTCGTAAACAGTCCATGTGTCAGTCTATCTCGTAATATTGGGATGCACCCAAAATTCTCTTTGCCTCTGCCATCGTCTTTTATAGCGACGATGGAGGAGGCGCACACAAGCAATTACTTTCACGTCCATTTCCAAACTGAGCCAGTGCTTATGCTCTACTAAACGGTCGTCGAACGCCGAGCTAACGCGCGGTGTGTACACTGCTAACGCGCTTTTAACGCAACGCAAAACGCCTAATGTGTACAAGCCCTATATGTATTTTTAATTAATAGATTATCTAACGCACTTAATAAATAAGCAAGTTCAATATAATTACCTCTGTTATATTAGATTCAATAGATTCCCTATGCCCTCTAAATGCTAATTCTTGTTTTGATAACATCTACTAATTTGTGTATAATTTATCTATTAGCCGTAACTTTGTTATAATTTTCAATATTTCTTTTTTATATTGTTTACTAATGTTAAATTCTATTCTACTTTGATTTCCAAATTGCTTCAATTTTACGAAAGAATCGATGCGAGATTTACGATTTTCGTGTCTTTTGCCAGGTTTACTCAAATTATCTAAATGATCAAAGCCATTTTTATTCTACACACTAACGTTATTTGAAAATAATAGGCAAGGCCAACAAAACAATTTTTGCGTTTCTATGCATCAACAAAGCCATTTTGTCTTCATAAATTTTATCGTGAAAATGCCGAACAAATTTTTGTTGACATATTTATATTTAATTTAGGCATTGATCTTTCTCTTTTAATAATGTCTTCTTTTTCATTGTATGGTCTTGAACCAAAACTTTTTTTAATATCGAAATTACATTCTAAATCGCTAGCCATTATATAAGGGCTAAAATTAAAAATAAAATTATAAAAATTTGTTAAAATAAAATGTGTGATTGGATATACAATTATACATACAGTCGACCCCCCCATAACACTGTTGATAATTCCGTTTTATATGAATTCCGTGTTGTACGAGTCACTTAGATTTTACAAATATGAGCCGTTCACAGCCCGGCACACGTATTTGTAAAATCTACGAAAATTCAACGCGAAGCGACACGCAACGGAGAAAAATTTCAACATGGGATAGGTTATATTTATTCCTACATAATCGGTTATCCGAAGTATCGATTTTCCGAACAACCCCAGTCCCCAATTGATTCGGATAATCGACGCTCTACTGTATTTACTTTTTAGAAAATACAAGGAAAGCGGCGCTTCCATCGCTTCCAATGACGGAACGCCACTGGTAAAGTGTTCATTATTTCATTATAATTTTAAATATGTGTAAATTACCAAATAAAATATCGATCCCACTAAAAATAGTAGTAAAAATGACTTGTGTTGAACAGATGCTGAGAGGTGCTTGCAGCACACTGAGATTTTGCACACGCCCATAGATTTTGAAGTCACACACAACGCGTTGTTGCCAACGCTTTTTACTTTCCTGGCTGTTGTGTGTACATAACAAAGAAAAGTATTGGAAGAGCGTCAAAATTGACCCTCATAGCCTTTTGCAAATCTCTTGATCACGAAAAGCAACAAAAAAATTCTATGAATATGCATGTGCATTATTTTTTCGTTTAATATCTCAAGATGGGGTAAAGATCAAGAAAAGAAATTTGGCACGGTAACTTCCTCAACTCTTGCCAAGAAAACTACATGGACAAGGAAAGACTTGTCCATGCAGTCACCAGGAGTCGACGACGACTTGATGGAACTTAACAACAACAGCTTGTGTATAAGGAGCAATGGTGCTGTTAAATTTTGGTGGTTTAAGGTCGAGAGGGTGAATAGATGGGGGATGTCGTGTCATATCCCGAAAGGGATCGGACATAATGAATATTTTACTCGTTATTAGTGTTTACAATTGTTTTATAGAAGTCATCCCTTTCCTGATTTTATAATAAAAAAAATCTGAAACAGATGGCGCCACTCACAATTATATACACGGTATTTAATAGTATAACATGAGATTTTATTTTAAAAATGACTCTTCCTTACTGTTTCTTCTGGAGTGAAAAGCGAATAGCAGTAACACTCCTCTATGGGAATGAAATGTGCAAAGCGGAATTATTTTAAAAATAAGAAACAGCCGGAAAGTTACACAACTCGTTGCTAGATTTTTTTTATAATTTCTATAATAGCCAGTCTGGTGATTATAAATGCCGTTAAATGTAATTTTTCAAGACAGAAAATACATTATTTTGGTCATTAAACATTTTCCCGTCTAGTAATAAGAAAAAGGTTGAAATTTCTGCTAAGGTAAAACAAAATTTCTTCCCGTTAGACTGAACGTCTTTATTATTACTATTTTCGCCTATGGTCACTAAGAAAGAGGACCATTTTTTAAAACACTTTTCGCCCCGTGGACACTAAGATGACCTTTTTTAGCAAGCCCATTATGGGGGCGGCCGGGTTGTGAGGGACGGACACCGACATATTCGGTCGGACCACCCCCGGACGGATCGGAAAACCCCCAGGAATTTTTTGACATATCCGAGCGGTCAAGATAGCAGCCTACCCAGAGCTGTAGGCTGCTATCTTGAACGCTCGGCCCATCCGACCTTTAGTAATTCCATTATGGGTTCTACTGATTTACAATGGGGCAGCTGTGTGGTGGCAAAAACTTCCTGTGGGGTTTTTGGATTCACTCCTGGGTTCCCAGAGCGGAAGACTGCCATCTTAATTGTTCGGTCAACCAGCCATGCGAAACCAAACATTAAAAAAGCTGTATTTAGCGGGAAACATTGTACACGCTGCGAAACGACAGATTGCAAAGCTACAAACAAATAGCAACAAAACAAAATGTCTATTTATAAAAACATCCTTTGTATATGTATTAATTTAGTAATTATATATAATTATAATTTTCCGTATATTTTATTTTTATTAATAGCGAGGTTGAAGTCGAAGTTTTAAACGCGAAAACGTGTACGTCGGACGTTCAGCGCCGCTTTCCCGTAAGCCTAGAAGTTTGACAATGGTGTTTGGAATGTCGAGCATAATTCCACTGACTCTCCAAACACCATTGTCAAACTTCTAGGCTTACGGGAAAGCGGCGCTGAACGTCCGACGTACACGTTTTCGCGTTTAAAACTTCGGCCTCAACCTCGCTAATATTTAATATAAATAGTTTAAATTGTTTTATTATTTTACATATATTTAATTATCAAATGTGCGGCTGTAGTAAATATAATTTTAAAAGTCATTCAGTTATTAGTAAACCTTTGACGCCACTAGAGAGCTTTTATTATTAATCATAATTATTTAGCGCTAAAAATATATAATTCTTCAATTCTTCATCGAATTACGTTTATGCCTAAATTCTTCATATTGGAGAAAATTCTTCAAATCCGGCAACACTGCTTCGAAACGTGCAGATTTAGCAACAAGTGACGTCCGTGAAAAAATTGCGCGCAAATGTCGAATAGAGAGCATGGATTATGCTGTTGTGAGTACATTAGCGATCATGGCAATCGAAGTCATATTCTCGCTATATGTTGCGATTGTAAACTGATTGATGAAACATTCGAAAGGTTATTTATTTTTATATATAATCTTATATGCAAAGATAGTAATATTAATATACCGTAAACAATGAATAATCGAATCTGATGTGTTATGCCAATATACATTTTGTAAACAATTACTTGTATTATAAATATTTGTACAGATAAAATGAAATGTATCTAATATCGGCATTGCCCTAATATCTGGTTTGTTGTCATATACTGTACAGTACAGTGCATAAACTTAACAGCATCAGTAACTATAAAAGTAATTTTTTCAGTTAAATATTTTAAGCTTAAAATATGGTTACCGTAATTATGTGTGTAAAAACTTCAATAAAAATAAAAAAGTGAATCCTCTCTCACATTATCATATTTTTCAATTATTAAGAACTTCAATATAAAATAAAAATTATATATAATGGAAAAGAGTAACATACATATCATATTTAAATTTGGAATCATTTCTGGATTAACTTTTTTGCTCTCAAATTTAAAGTTTGAAAATTGTATAGTTTTAAATTTAAGGAGATATAGTTACAATCTACTACTAGATTTTTACATAAGAATTGAAATTAAATTTTTAAATGGGAATGATGAGATTATAAACAATTTGTATAGATTATTTTTAACTTTTCCTCAAAAGATATTAAGAAAATTCTGTTAATATAAATCAAAAGGACTGTTGACAACAATGTATTTTGATCTATATTAATCCATTAATTTTATTAGTTATCTATATTATTTATTAAACAAGTCAGAAATAAACCACAAATGCCAGACCCCAAATGTTATGTGAAGTATAAAAATTGGCAGCAATATTTTGAAGCATTTTCCATTACTTATAAAAATAAATATAATGTGCATAAAATACAATGTTTAACTGTTATGATACAATCAATAACAGAAATATTTAATGTAGAAAATTTACATAGGTATATAAAAAATATAAGAAAGAAAACGGCTCCAGGTGCCGTCTCCATTACCAACTTGATAATCAAAAACTTGTCGATAGAAGGTATTCATCTATTGGCTAACCTATACAATAATTTCTATAACACAGGTACAATACCTGGAGATTGGAACAGAATCATTTTCCAAATGATATTTAAAAAAGGGGAAAGAAGCTGTCCAGCCAACTATCGACCTATTGTTTTTTTGTCTGGGTTCCACAAACTGCTTACAGCAATACTAACGGAAAAGTTTAATGAGTGGACTGAGAATAATAAATTACTTAATTATACACAATTTGCCTTTACAAAAAACGGAGGTACTCAAATTGCATTATTTTCATTGACGGCACTAGTTCAATTGCAATTATATAAAAAGAAACAAAAAGTCTTTGCCTTGTTTTTGGACATTGAAAAAGCGTATGACTCAGTGGTTATCGCAGTGTTACTAGATAAGTTAAGCAAAAATGGAGCAGATACACATATGANAGGCACTTATTAATATTAATATATACTGTACTATAAATTAAATTTATTTTATTGTTATAATTAATAGCCAAGGATAAAATAAAAAGTTTTAAATATCAACTTTTTTCTACTTGGTTGTTGTGCGAGGCCCTCCAAGAGCGAGGCCCCGGGCCATTGCCCTGCTCGCCACCCCCTAAGGCCGCCACTGAAAAAAGGAACGAATTTTAACGAATGTTGAGATCAGCGCTGAGTCAACGTTGAAAATTGGAATGTCCCATATGTTCACACATATATCATGACTAAATTCCATGTTTGGTTATGTTTATAGGGTTTAGGGTGGGACATCCTCTAAATCATCATTAAAATGCTTTCTCATCATACTTGGGTATGTTCTCAAAGTTTCAGTCTTTATTTTAATTAGAAGTGGATGAAGCTTGAGTTTCAAGATTTGAAGACATGGTACAAACAAGTTAAATAAAAGTATTTTTAAAAATTTTGAAAATCCCAATCAATGACAACATTGATAGGTTTTTGGGCATTGACAATAATACAGTATTGTACCAAGGTTCCACATTATCTGAGGTAAACCTGTAAGTGAATACACTTCTTTTCTTATGCTATAATTGATAGTAGAAAATTTAAAATGATAACAAATCATTTTGCAATACATGTTACCTTTTATCATTTAACTTCAATGTGTGATAGAACCATTTATATTAAAATGTAACTACAGTAATTGATTAATTGATTGATTATTCTGTCTTTTTTAAACATTGTCACTGTAAATTTTTTTAAAGTGTAAATTTTTATCTTGGCAATTTTGCTATTCCACATATGTATTAGCTATATAATAAATGTAAAATTATGTACATTATTAAATTCACTAAGGTAAGAAAAGTGGCTTAAAAGTGATACCACACAAATCTTTTATATTCTTAATTCAAAATGTCAAAGTTNCCTCATCCCATTTAACCTTAGAGCCTTGCGCTTGCGCCATTTGGGACAAAATCGTTGAATTAGAAGCTTTTCTTATGGCATATCTACTGGATGTTAAAAAAGATTATATCGGCATTACTACCAGAAACTTGGGAGTATGGCTCAAAGAACATAGATATGCCATAAGAAAAGCTTCTAATTCAACGATTTTGTCCCAAATGGCGCAAGCGTAAGGCTCTAAGGTTAAATGGGATGACGCAACAATCATCAAACCTCTGTCTTCCCCAACTCTAGCAATGACGGCGGAGAAAATAGAAATATACAGAAGTAAGATAGGAGAAGGCTGTTTAAATGCGAGAGATGCGGAGAGCCTACCATCGGCATGGAAATATTTGGTTAAGAAATGTACTAGAAACTTCAATCAGAATTAATCCATTGAAGATTTATGTTATTTTTGTTTTAATATTTTTTATGTATTCTTCCGTTATTATTTTTTTCCTCTTTTAAATTTTTGATTTAAAAAATTTTTTATGTTCTATTCATGGAACATTTACGTTCCATTTTTTCGACCTGAAGATGGTCTATTAACTAGGCTGAAAACGTTTGTTTTTTAAAATTATATTTATTTCTCGGCAAAAAAGGTGTATTGTTTCTATTTATTTAGTTGCTGAGTGTTTTTGATATTATAATTTTTTAGTTTAAGAAAACTCTTTAAAATATAATGTACTGAATTTTTTTATTCCCTTTCATTTTTGTATGTAAAAATAAATTATTCCAACATTGATAATCTCTTAAATTCTCATTATCAATAATATATGATTAAATGTAATAAAGTAATTATAAATCTCATATAAATCTAAATCACACAGCCAGCAGTGAGAACTAGTTAACAAATTTACTTAATCATCTTATTCAATTGCAGATAAACATTTCTCAACAAGATGATTAAGTGAATTTGTTAACTCTTAAATGAATGTGAATTTACTGATATCAAACATGTGAATGTTTTTATTAATATGATCAAATGTTATATTATTTGATTACATCAATAATAATATATTCATATTTGCATTTATGTGAAATAACATTTAGAGAATAATATATTTTTATAAATGATTTATAATAAATTTGTATTCATGAGTTAACCTCCAAAAATAATTTTAAATATAACCATAAAGTCAGATGAGAGATGAGTTTTTTTTTATGTTCAAAAAAATAGGGAGAGTGTCTCGACCGTTGAAGGTGTTCGCACGATAATTTCAAGAGAATAGTCAACACAACACCGTGAGATAATGATTGGTTCCTGGAGGAAAATGCAACCTCAATTGAAGTGGAATTATAAAAATAGACTATCGTTGCTATTGATATTAACTTTATTGATTATTTCGGGTATAGAATCTAACCCAGGCCTTTGTCTAGATCATCTCAATATGGTGGTCATACAGATATGCAAAAGAAGGTGCAGGGGAGGCCACGCAATGCCATTCCCAAAGTTATAGAAAAAAACAAATATATCTGAAATTGCGTCCAGTCAAGAAATTCAGCCTGAAGAACAGGATTATGATAGAGGTGAATTAATTGACATGAGATCTCCAAAAATACAAGACTACTTTAATACCGTACAAGGAGTAGGCATTCCAAAAGCAGAAGAACAAAGATATTCACTAACATCCATATACAATTTAATTGAAGAAAAATTCAATCAATTAATTAAACATTGAATTGCAAAATATCAAAACAGAAGTTAATAATCTGAAAGAAGAAAACAGAGCTTATCAACTGGAATCTAAAAGAATTGAAAAAAAAACTGGAAGAAATGGACTTAGTAACTAAGGATAATTCCCACACAAAAGATGAGCGAGAATTTGAAATAGATCAATTATTAAATGAAAAAACAAACAAAAATATAGTAATTATTAATTTTCCATTTGAAACTTCGGAATATCTAAAAGAAATTGAACAATTTATAACAAGGGAACTATGTATAACAAATAGTACAATAGATAGTTTAATTAAATTAACTAATAATGAATATAAGCCTATGGTGAAAACAGTATTATCCTTAACATATGATAGAAATTTAATACTTAAAGAATTTTGGTCTAAGAAAGCAAAAATCAATTTAGAATGTAAAAAAATTATATTCAAAACAGATTTGTGCAGAAGATTGAGATTGAGGAGAAAAAATTTGATATCAATAGTTCAACAAGAAAAAGCCAAAGGCATTAAAATAATAATGAGAGATGATTATTATATTAAGGAAGAGAATATATACTCATATGATCTCAACTTACAAAAACTTACTTATCAATACAATACATTTAAAAGGTTTTTTAGGACTAAATTGAATGGTTTATCAAATATACATGCCATAAAATCCTACATTTCCTTGAATAATTGGAGAACAGATGAGTGCACAAACCAAGAAATACTAGAAAATAATAACTGACAAGGAAATAGAATAGAGCAGACAAATTTAGTAGTGGAACTACCACTGGAAGTGAGTATACAAAAAGGGATAATTCCAAAATTCCTTTTGGATTTTGGAATATTCAAGGCCTCCAAAGAAAACTATACACAGATATATTTTATAGATACTTGGAATCTAATACAGTTATTGGTCTGTCTGAAACTTGGTTGATCCAGCTAAAAGCCTTTTTAGAATGAACATTT